ATCATTAGCCATTTAGCTGACTTCGGGCTTCACAGAGGGCTTCAATTATAATCATTCCTCTTTTCATTATAGTGGTCAAGTGTGTGCTAGTGGCAAGTCCGGGTTTCTTAAAGGATGAATTCTTCGAATACCTCTTCCAAGTGGCTGCACGCGATTCCGATAAGCACCGTGCGGTGCTGGATAATAAGAGTAAATTCATGTTGGTGCACTCTGCGTCGGGTCACAAAGGTGCCCTGAAAGAGGTACTTAAAGATCCAGCGATTAAAAGACAAATCATCAACACTAAGTCATCTGCAGAGATATCCGCTCTAGATGACTTCTATGGTATGCTAAAGACGAATCCACAACGAGCCTTCTATGGGTGAGTTTAAATTTCTTAGTCATCAGTACCAGCATTTTGCTAAGTCGACGTTTTGATTCCAACATGTCTAGTTCCTATCAGCATGATCTAGGTGCCCTTTTGTTGTTGCTATGCTAAAGTTATCTCAGATCTGGAGAGGTATTGTACAGAACTATAATTACTGCTAGACATTTTGCAAATTTGATAGCACGTTTAAGTAACGGTTGTCTTCAAGCACTTGAAGTTTGAACGTAGAAACGCAGTTAGATCAATGATTGATTCGCTTCTGAACTTAGTTTTAAAATGGCAGGAACGACGTGCTCTCTCATACTGTAAGGCATAATGGTTTTGATCCATTCATTTTAAGAGATAATTCTCTCTCCTGTAACAATTGTTACTCATTACGCATTTATAAAACTAATGGTTTCGAAGATGAGTTCTCTTAAATATCAATTGGTTCACACCCAGCGTTTGAACTGTATACCACTAACTTGAAAAGTCGAACTTGAAATTCCATTTTCCCTCTTAAGCCTGTTAGTCTGTACGCTCGTTCATGCCTTGTAAGAGTCACGCGTATGCATCTTGGGTTGAGTTCGCCGCTGGTGCAGTAATTAACATGTGCGTCATAGGCGACAATGGTCATGGGGGTTTGACGCTCACTAATTCATGTAGTTGATTAACTTCCCTATTTTTTTTCATGGCCAATAGTGGAGGTGTCAAGAACAGCTCCGGGATACCTCCTCTCTACTCAGGACAGATGGGCAAATGGGCTTGGGTACTTTCGTATTAAATTTATTTTGTAATTTTGTAAGCATCGGTGAGCTTTATAAAATACGGATTCACAGCTTTCGAGGCTTTTGTGCCAATCTCCTAGTTAGAGAAAATTGCTATTTTGCTTTAAATATATGTTATTTGCGCAGCTCGAAAAATAATTCATACAATTTGTGCTGATTTTAATAGCCTCTTGGGTCCTAATAGCTTTCTGTTTTTTAAGCTCATTTGTACCTACTCTTATTCATTTAGTTGATATATTTTTACTATTACTCGAATACTGATTTCTCCCTTAAAATCGCTTGCTTGTTACTTGAATACTACTGACTTTAATCTCCTGATTAGATAATGTTTCCCTTTCATGACGAACTGGAAAATTATGCCTTTTTTATCAATATAGCTAGATTTGCATATTTGAGACTGGGAGAATATGAAGCGTCTCTTGTTAACAGTGCCAAATGATGGAGTTACTCTTTTCTGTTCGTATTTATTATGATGTTTCTAGTGACAAGAGTAAAAAGGCCTTATAATTTGTAATGAGGAAGCATCCATAAAGTGGTAATAGTAAAATAGTCCAATGTGAGATGAAGCAGGAAGGTAGCTTCCTATTGGAGTTGACAATGGTGTCACTTTATTAAAGATCGATTTCTGATTGCATTCATTTTTTCACTTTCCAATACTATATATATATATATATATATATATATATATCGCTTAAATTCCTAAACTTCAAAATTTATAATGGTTTGGCACCCCTTTAGTTCTGGATGAGTTAATATCCGTGCTATTCAGAGCTTACTAACTAGATGTTTGAACGTCACCTTAATCCTCTTTTAAATTTCGCGCTTTTTCCCATTTTCCAGCGTGAACCACGTCGAGAGGGCGGTAGAAGCGTGTGCAGTGGAAACATTACTTATTTGTGACTCACTCTTTCGATCAAACGATTTGGCAGAACGGCGGAGGTACGTACAAATAGTCGACTCGGTGAAGGAGAATATGGGCAATGTGCGGATATTCTCTAGCATGCACATATCTGGCGAAGGTAAGTCACAAATGAATGGTGTTTCTGTAATTGTCGAAGGAGAGATGTGTAGAAATGCTGCCTCTATCGCTGCGGGCTTGGAATATTGGCTAGGTTTGCTTGTTACTTTCGGAGGAGTAAGGGAAAGCGACCATCTTGGCGCCATGACCACTATCCTTCACTTCGAGCGCGCTGACATTCAAGATGTCTATACTGCCTATTTCAATCTTTTAATGGGTTGAAGAAATAATTGGTGTTGAATATGCTTCCTTATCTTTGATAGTAAGTACTAAATAACCTTTATTTTTAATAAGAAGGAACGATGTCAAACAAAATTAGTTTTTAATCTTTCTTGTTTGAATCGTTTCTTGAATTGCTCTGGACTCCATGGCAGAACGTGGCATTTCTTAATGGTATATAGATTGAACTGGAAATTCGCATTTCTAATGATCTATCGTCATTTCTGTACTCGTTCACCTGTTTTTCCGTAGTTCATTTGACATCTTTTTTAAAAATCGAAGTGCTTTTCCACTGCCTGTACATTGTTTGCTACACTATATGCCACTTTGCTACAACTGCAAATTCATATTTTTGGTTTGCATTGTATTGGAGAAAGTGAAAGTTTCATAAACGACATTTTATAAGTAATTCCAGTTAATATGGGAGGTCATTGAAAATTTACTGAAAAGCTAAAGACCTACAAGCCATCTAATCTCCCACCTCTCGTGACCAATAAGGGTGTATGGCTCTTTTATACTTGCCCACTGGCTGTCCTTCTATTACTCTGCAAGCTTCCTTCCTTACTGGATTGGCGATATTGCTAACTTGGTCTTTTCCGAGTCGTGAATAACACCGTGCTTGATGGCGTATAGTTTTTTAATATTGTTTTTTGACTTCTTTAGATCTGAAGAACTTGTCAGGAATAGCGGCGATTCTGCGTTTTCCCCTTCCGGAATTGGAGGAAGGAGATTTGGGAATCGGAGTTGATGAGGATGGCGAAATGGAATTCGCCTAGAAGATACAAAGATTATAATTCATTTCTATTGCCTTCCCTCCTCTCTTTGTACAGTTTTCTTCGCCTTATTTACGCCAAATATATTACTATTTCGTTGCAATTCATTTTTGAGTTAAATTTTTTCCATAATGCTATTTGTAAATGAGGCTTGATTAGAAAGGGTTGTAATATTTAATGGGATATAAGCCTAGTTTGAAAGCTGGTTACTGAAAATAAAACAACTTTTTTGCGAATGAAAATTTGCAATTGAAGATTTCACCAATTAGTTCTAATTCTCTTCATGGTGTCTATTGATGTTTCATTGAACGCTAGCTTCAAATATACTGTTTACTGGGCAGCGGTCTTTTGGGGAAGCTTGTGTTAAAACAGGGAGAATGCCATGTCAAATGAGCCAGTGTCCTATTCCTGAAGTTGGTTTTTACGCAAAACTTTTTTGGCAAGTGGGCGCTGATCATTGAAGCTTTTTGCAACAATGTCGAGACATTTAAATCGGCTATTTTTTGCAGTTCCAACTCCTCACATTGCAATTTCATGCTATTTTAAAGTCAATAGCTTATACATTATTAAAAGAATACACAGCAGACTAAGGGAGAATCAAGCAAAAATTAGTGAAATGCGAAACGTATGATTTGCCAATGAACTTCAACACTGCATAAAGCAGTAATATTAGCAATAAACTGTATTGTCACTTGCTTCAGTTTTATTTGCACAATTCAACATGGACAAGTGGGGTTCTGCGATAGGTCTTCATTTTCTAACTTAGGATCTGATCTAAGGAAAACAAACTTTGTTAGTCGTCCTGATTTTTGCCCGATGCACTCTAAATGCCTGACCATCGATTTCAATAATGGCTTTACAGGCTTTCAAACACCGTTTGGAATTCAATTTATTCCTAATAAGAGGATGAACTGAATACGGTTGATGTCTCCTGACTGACATGTTATTGATCAATCAAGCAGTGGGCCAATCAATTATTCTGTAATTATATAAAAGTCAACTTTAACAGTAAATAATAACTGACCCAATGGCTCAGTAAAAGGTCTAAATACTACCCTTAAAGGCTATGTTAAAGTTACATGAATCTCTGCCTTTATAAAAAAGACAAATGTTTCTCACTATCTTTGAAGACAAAGACCCTAAGTATCGAAGAGAAATTTACAAACAAGACAGTATTTTCAACTTGATATTTCATTTAAAATAATTAAAAAGTCCACACGTAGCAGAGCAACAAGAGAACTTCTAATCAAATCCACCCAGACGCAAAATCATGGAAACATGATAAAGTTTTATTTACAGAGTCATTCTACGAAATTGATTATTTTCTCTTGAATTGTTGAGATCTGACCATATGGGCACGAATACCTCTCAATTCACCGGCATATGGTGTAATTTCCTTGCGCACTTCAGGCACTCTTGACTTGTAACGAATGAGAGCCTTCTTGTACTTGTAACGATTGTGAACACGTGGGTTTCTTTCACGCTTGTGTCGGTACTTGATAATACCCCGATTCTCCATAATCTATAAGAATTAAAATTAATTTACTATTTACTGAAGTAATTTCAACAGCAACTATATGTCGAAATAACCTCTTTTGTGACTGGACGGTTGGGATATTCAGGGGCTGTTGGAAGAGATAGGCCATCATCCTTCTCCGTCATCTTGACATCTTCATCATCCTCAGAAACCATAGAGTCGTCTTCATTTTCGCTGCCTCCGGGAGAAGGCTCTTCTTCAGAATCCTCTTCCAAGGCCTCTATAAGTGCTGCTCTTGCCTTAGCATATTCCCTATTCATATCATAAATGAAATAAGAGTCAACCAATACTATTCATTCTTTCAATCAACCTAAGTCGAGTTAATTATTTTTACCCATTAACAAATAAGCGATTAAGATTAAAAATAAAGGGAAAAACCGAAATGGAGAAATATCGCTTCCATAAATATCCTTTCCATAGAGAACAAGGAACTAGTTCAAGGTACTTGTAACAGCTACAAGTCAAAATGTGGAAAAAATACAAGCCAAGCTGAGCAAGCTTTAGCTCTTAAAGGGTCGAGATGCTTAGAGAAAACCCCAAATTTAATGCAAGGGATATTCACAAATAAAAATAGTGAACAAGTGATTGACAAACAAGATAATTCAAGCTGTAACCAAGAGGAGAAAGATAAAGCGTCATGTATGGAGGTCTATGCAAATAATAGTATCACCAATTATCAGGAACGGTCGTACTTATATCCCAGTCACTTTTTACAAAAACAATCAGTACCCTGCACAAAGGAAAGCAAAGTTTCCTAGGTATTACCGACGAGCCTAAATAAGAGTCAAACGACAGACTTACCTCCGCATGGTGCATCCTGGGTAACGCATACTCATATAGAAAAAGGGTCTATAAACCGACAGTTGACTGCAAACTACAATGACCCCACTGTATGTCATATTCAATTACTTCCACAGTACTCACCATACCTTTATCCCTACCTTTGCGTCTGTCTCTTTAACATCAGTGAATCATTCCTTTGTTCTTCTCTTCGAATTTTATGACTTTGATGTTCCTTCCCCACCGTGAAGCCTGAAGTCAACTAAAGGGCTAATTATGTCATTTGGTATAAATAAATGTCCATCCACTTGCATTCCATTACACCATGCGAATTCTCTCTAGTAAATGCATATCTTACTCAAACAGCTCGCCCACTAAATTTAAGGGGAAATTTCGAGTGAAAAGATGCATAACATTGAGATACATATCACTGTTCAACTTGTGACTGAGAAGCATTTTCGTTTCACTTACTCATTATTTTGTAATTCCGCCGTTGCATCCTGAAATGAATAACAATGAATGTTAAGGAAGTGAATGGCATACATTTTGGGCAGATAAAAAGACGAAGGAAATACCTTATTTGAGAGAGACGATTTAAGATCGGACATTGGGAGCAGAACACTTAAGCTAAAATAAGAGAAGATAAATGGTCACCTAGTTTAATAATTGACTAGTCGAACGTACAAATGAGCACGTTGTTGGGTATCAACAATCTGTTTGGCCATTTCGTGGATGCGGAGTCTCACAGTTTTGCCCTTCGAAGTAGCCATTTCGCCAAGTTTCAGTAGACGATTACCGGCAACATTGAAAAAGCCTGCATCATTGGCTACCAACTGATGACGCTCCTAAATCACAAATCGCGTATTAAATAAGTGGAGAAATAGACGCCACAGATTCAAAGAAATTATTAAGTAATAGCAAAAAACAAACCTCATGAAGAGACCTTAGCTGTTGATGAATTGAATTATGTTGAAAACCAGGTGTGGCAACACGCCGATGAACAAGGTAGGATTCGAGAAGACTGCAATAGCTAGATGAATAAAAAATAACATAAAACGAACATGAAACAAAGTACCATGGCAACAAATCAAATAAATCAACAGTAACTAACCTTAATAGCCAATCAACTCGTTCTTTGATAAAACTTTTTGCTATACAATCTAAAGGGAGATTAAGTAACACGTGAGAATTTGGTTTAGAGTCCTGTGAAGTAGAAATGCCCAAATAATTTGCCAAAGGGAGCCACTTTTCATTTAACCATGTTTGACATATATGTAATTCCTTGAACCAAAGAGCACAGTCCGGATAGTTATCACCAAGATACTAAAAGTTAAATTGAATAAATTATACCACGATGAAAAAACCCATAAAAATTTAAAAGCCCTACAAGATATACCTTTAGAACGGTGGATATATCTCTGTTTCTAGGCCAAGCTAGAAGTGGAAAGCCGTGACTTCGGAAAATTCTGACCTCTTCCTCTAACGTCATCGGGTTTACAGAAGCCTTTGTAGAACGCCTTTGAAAAATAAGAAAGTCCAATTGGCCTTCGGAATCAGATTGAGAACTCTCACGGAAAAACAGATGAAGTCTACTTTGCCCAGATGTGCAAAGAAGCTCACCTTTTGAAAGAGGAGAAATTAAATAACTGATTGGTGAATGTGGACTAGGATGAATAGTGTTTAAGGCTGATTGTCTATTGTGGCAATCCTTCAAGAACAGTTTAACTGATTCTATAAACAAAATACTTATAATTAAATAACAATTCAAAAGTAGGAAAATAAGCATTTAAAATATTTGAACAATACGAACCTTCATCTTCTTCATCGTAATCATCACCTCCGTAATATTTGCTTTTCAGCTTTTTAGGTGCCTAAAAGCAATTAAATATAACAAAAACTACCATGAGAAAAACCACGAGCAGATAACTGAAAAATGCGGCTAAAGAATTAAGTATTAAAACAAAGAAAGTGGGAAAATCACATTGCTTGAAAGTTGGGCAGCAAACACTTTATTTCTTTCTCATTAAACACTTGAGCAATTAATGTTCATTATCATTTACTTGTAATATATAACAAGTTTATTAAAAAAGAGAAATATAAACAAAATAAAGGTGGATTAACACAACAGGTGAAAATTATTATCCTTTAAGAATACTTCTTATATTAATAATCTGATTAATGAACGATTGGGCAGAATTTGCTCAATTAAAGTAGCTGCTTTATTGCAATAGATGCTCTTAATATTATAATATAGGGATGATGAGATAATTCTTTCCTGGCATTTCCTTCTATTGATACGAGAAGTGAACTTTCTCATGGTTGATGAAGAAAATTACACGATTATTGTTTACATTTAAAAATGTTTGAAAATGCAGATGTTATTTGAATGGTGTATTTAGGAATTTTTCGAATTATTCTAAAGGTAGAAATGTCCTATTTTATTTGCAAATATTTATTGATGAAGTTAATGGGACTTTGAATAGAAAGTTATACAGATATTTTTATCCCATTGTTTGCTAATTAAGTAACCCCATTTACGTAATTCTAATATTAAAGCCTCTTGAATCTTTTAAATTACTACCAAAATCATATAATATCCTAGGAATCTGGTCGCTTTCAAAATGAATTGAAACATGCATCAAATAATAATTTAATTTTTGTTAAAAGTCATATTTCTACTTTTATTTCATATTTGCTTTTAATATTTCGTTCTCAAAATGGACAGTTTAAAATGTCTGAGCTTCTGAGACAGCATTTGGGTTCTAAACTAATAGGTAGCCTTAAGTAAGTTCTTTAGCGTTTTATTTCCCCTTTTCCTTGAAGCGCCCCAAGTTTAGTGACAAGAAATATGTCACTTCTTCCTCAGAAGTGGAATAAATACTTCAATATCCGAGATGACGTTGAAATTTCTAGTGGGGTACGCATCTGATTTGTTGTTTTATTTTTTTTCATAGACATATCGTATTTATCGCCGAGGCGTTGAGGGCCCTCTCCTGTTTTTCATTCACGGTGGAGGTTTTTCTGCCTTGTCTTGGTCTTTGTTAAGTGTAGGTTTCTTACTCTTTGCATCATGTTTATTATACAGAAAGCTATTACTGAAGACGTTCGTTGCCAATGTCTTGCTGTGGATATGCGGGGTCATGGTACGAAACCGAGTGCTTATTCACTAATATGAATTCTTTTATAGGTGATACGAATTGTAATGATGCAAGCGACTTTTCCATCGACACCCTTGCGAATGACATTGTTCAGATTATTTTTGCAATGTTTCCAACTGAGGCTCCGCCAATAATCTTGATTGGTCATAGGCAAGTTTATTCATTCTTCTGCTTCTTTCTATCTTGCTTTGTCCTAATTGTTTTTGACTATGTTTCACTTTAGCATGGGTGGTGCCGTCGCTGTACATGTTGCTCAGAAACGGGCTATTCCTTCATTTGCAGGACTAGTGGTTATAGATGTCGTTGAAGGTGTGGTTAATTATTTTTTATTAGATTAGTTTTTTTATAATTATTTTGATTTCAGTCGGATTTTACTGTTATTTTCTTCATATGTGGTTGATATTCTTACCTTGTTAAGCTTCATCAGATTAATTTGAGATTTATAAGAAATTTTTTCCATTTAACAATTTCTAGTTGTGTTTGTTTTGAGTGTATTTGTTAATTTCTTTATTTTGGTATTGCAAACGTTGGTATACTATATCTACACTCATGGTACTTTTACCCAAATCTTCATATTGTGCCGGTATCTTGTTATGGCCTTTCGCAATTTTACGGGTAAAAGCCTTTAAAAGCAGTTACATTTCAGCTAGCCTTTTGTATCAGGAAGTGCGTACTCTTCTTCTTATGTATCAATCCCGAGTTCTGTGCTCATCTGTGCACGTCTAGTGGTGTGGTTGATCGACTGCACTGATTGCTACTGTTCAATGTGAAACTTGCTAGAAAGCGATTTTATACAGGAGCGGCTCCATGGTATCTTCTTTCCTTACTTTTCAAGTGTTGTCTACGCCTTCCTTAATGGTCTTGACAAGTGTTTACTGATCAATACACGCTAGAATATTCCTTATTCATTTCATTCTTTTTTTGCAGGAACTGCTATTGAATCACTGCACAGCATGACTTCCTTCCTTAGCAACAGACCTCAGAGCTTTCGTTCACTCACTGATGCTATTGCTTGGAGGTTAGTCAACACAATTACTTATTCTACTTCTATTCCAATTTCGATTTACATACTTTTTTGCCACATCTTATGCTAGGTACTCATTTTTTATAAGTCTACCATACATTTTCTTTCCTGCTTTCCATAACTACACGGTTGTAAGCCTATTGCATTATAGTTTCTTTTGGAAATGAGTGCAAATAACTGGAGGTAACTTCTCGCTTTCGACGAGATTTAGTACTGAATCAGTAGATCTCTCTCTCTACAAGTTGTGAAGCCTCGTCCTTTTAATATTGCAGACAAAGTTAAAGGCGCTCGTTTTAACATCTAGACTTTGAAGAGATCACAGACGTCTAAATTGCTCATCGCCACGTAATAAACGAGATCGGCTGGTTGATTGGTCCGAACCCGAAATGCTTAGCTTACGGGCTTATTTGTAACAGTGAAATAACCTGTGTCTTGGCTAGAAAGGTCGTTAATTCTCATTTTGTCGAATTTCCATTTCGAATTTTCTAAATTGCCAATTGTGCTTGCTCATTTCAGTCACTAAATATTTATCAATTTTTGTGCTCTAAGTAAATTGATTTTTCGTTTTCTCCCTTTAAGCACAAAAATAATTATTTAATGTTCGTATTGCGATGCAGAGCTTATATCTGGGAAAGTAAAATACAAAATCATTGTTCTTTGCGATCAAGTGTCCCAGTTACTATTTTTTCTGCTTGTTCTTTGACCACGCATGTTTTGTCATTTCAGTGGAATTTACATTCGCTGTGTTTTCTCAAATAACTTTGTTGCATTCGTCCCCCCCCCCCCACTCCCTATAATTTAATCATAAATTTTTCGAATGCAGAAGGAGATGCCTATGTCTAAAAGATAGTTTCATGGCGCCTCTTCCATTTTCAGAACTACAGCAGTGCTCATGGTTAATATATATATTATAATTAATTTATATCAATTGGTAGGCTTTATGGCAGTTATTGTTAGCCCTTTCGTTGACTTTTGACTTCACAAAGGGGGGGGGGGGAGAAAAGATAAAGTCAAAAAAATTCGAGATGGGAAATAGAAGGATTTACAGATGTAAAAGAGAGACAGACACAAAGGTAGAGAAAAGGTAAGATAAGGTGAGTACTGTGGAAGGAATCGAATATGACATACAGTCGGGCCATGGTAGTTTGAAGTGGGAAGTCAACTGTCGGTTTGTGACTTTTTGCCGCATGAGTATACGTTGCCCGGGCTGCACCACGAGGAGGTAAGCCTATCGCACGCCCCATGTGTAATTATAATTCCTCGTAGAAACAAAACCAAATAGTTTGTTAACAGAAGGCTCAGCAAACGGTATGAGGGGTTCAACGAATACTGGGATCAACGTCAAGGTAAAAAGCCCTCAATGCATTTTTAGAATCGCGTTTTACGCCATCTACTTAATGGATATCTTACATCTTCAATTTCTTATTTCATAATTCGACCCTGGATTGGGTCCAATGTTTGTCTACCATGTCCATCCTTTGCCGGCCATTTTAACCAGTTTAATTTTTCTTCCGATGATCGAGGAAACAAGTGATCTTGCACGATATTCAGCAGCTTATGGTCTTTATGTTGCAGAGATAGGATATCAAAAAATTGAAGTAATTAGAGCGTTTCAAGCTGTGTTTGTTCAAGTGGAAGTAAGCCAAATTAATACATATACAGTCGCTTAAATTTTTTTGTCTTATAGGTAATACTGTCATTACTTTTTTCCCAGTGCTTGTTTTGTTCCTAAAGTAACTATTTCGATATTTTTGGCATATATTGCGTTTTTAGCCGATGCGGTTTTGCCTCTTATTCATCAACTGAAATTCACCGTTTAAAAAATGTGTGCGAGTAGTGCCTTTGACGTTCCAGAACGAAACAAATTCAGACCAAAGTTTGGCTTTAAATCGATGTAATTTTTTTGTTACGCTCCTACAACAATTATCTAATGTCCTATATTGCATGGCTGGCCTGCGAAGGAAGAAACCAGTTCGGTTAATGGATATTTCATTTTCTTTAAACAGCTTTTTTTGTCTGTTTTAAGATGTTTTGAATTTTTTTTTTTGTTATTCTAGTCACTTTATTCTACTACTGAAGCAAATGACGTTTTCTCACTGAATCGCACGCATGCGCCAATTCTACCTAAACTTATGCAATCGTTATAGTTCTTGGGATATTAAAATATATATATGGCCGGAGATTAATTTATTGATTTGAGACTTGTCCGTTTTAAAAAATTTTTTTGAACATTGACCAATGCTACATCTGCCAAGTCAGAGGCTATGGGGTCGATGCCCATTGGTTTATTTCTAATTAATGTTGATGGCTAATTACGCTGATTAATTCTGCCCAGCAAAGGGCGCGTTAAAATAATTTTTTCACCTCTTTTTTATGTGAAACTTATTAATTATCGAGGTAAAAGGCAATACTAATGCCCAGTCTCTCTCCATATTTGAGATCTTCTCTTTCAAATTGTCTTAGTGTGAAAAGCGGCACAATTCGAAATTCCGAATCAGCGTGTGTCTCCTTCCCTGGTCAACTAAAGCGCATATCTACTGGTGAGAGCGCTACACAGGAGTTGGAGAAGGGCACGGCTATTATCAGCGCCCCCGCCTTCCCAACCACTCATCCTCCCTCAGGTTCTGCCGCCGGCAAAACTTCTTCGGTTCATTCTCTCTTTGGAGTTAGCGAGGAAGAGGGAGAAGATGAGCATTTGGAGGATAAAGCGGAAGACCCAAATCCAGGTCAGAATTTCCTTATCATTTTGGGTTGACAAAGTTGTGGAGATTTTGGGCCATATTTTTGCTGGCTCATTTCCATTATTTTATTAAAATGGACTTTTAGAAAGTCATCGTCTCAGTCGGTTTCGCTTTTGTTAAATCTAGATACGGAATACTTTTAATAATTTGACTCGTTTAAGGCCAAGCTCTAGACTCGTCATTTTATTCATCCCTAAGATGAAGGGGATCTTTAATTCCATGAGCTAATTTGTTCGCAATCCCTTAAACTTTAATTATCATTACTTCATTCTACGAATTAACTTTTATTATATTTCAGCAAATCATCCACTGCCACCTCTTAACCGAGGTAATGGAGAATTAAAGCCCTCTCACACTTGCTCGCTTGCATCCAACCGAATTCTTGTGGCCTCTCATCACCTTCCACCTAGCGGTACTTCAGAAACTCATTCAGAGGCTTGTGTTGATACTTCAGCGGCACCAGGTCATTCAACAACAGTTGCCGCCTCTAAGAGTGGAGATGGTTACGCCTGGCGGGTAGACCTATTGAAAACTGAACCCTTCTGGCGGGGCTGGTTTACCAACATGTCCTCCCTCTTCCTCTCCGTTCCTGAGCCAAAACTCCTCCTTATTGCTGGCATGGAACGGCTAGATAAGGAACTCACTATTGGTCAAATGCAAGGTATATATTGCAATGAATTATGGAGTCTTATTAACACGTTAATCGAAATAGGAGATCTTGTCATTACATAGTTAATTAGGTTCATTTTAGTGTTACCTCAACAAATGATGTATTTGCGGGTGTCAGGAAATTTTTTTGTTTGTCTAGCTGTATTGATATTTGCTTGCGGTCATCCTTCTCATATTCTTAGCTGTAAATTTCCTAATGTTTGACCACTCGAATGTAAATATACCAATCATCCATATTTACAATCCCTTGGTGTTAAATTCTTAACCTTCTAAATCCTTCTTGTTTATCAATTAATGCTATCGTTTCTGTTAGCGATCATCATAGATTGAACGACAAAAGCGTCTTTCCTAACCGCAGGCTCCATAGTCTGCTTAAATTCTATGCTAACATTACATTTGCCGTGGTATCTCGTACTTGCTTTTAGTTTATAATTGTAATTTGCTTAAAATATCTCATTCTGCTTATCTTCATCCTTTAATGCAGAGATGTATTGCCTAAGTACTCGTTGAAACTTTTAGTTTTGTTCTGAAATGAAATAGAGGAAGTTCGAATTTTCAATAAATTGCCTTATTTGTAAATTGAAGTATCAGAGTGAATCTAATATTCCTGTTTCGTCTCAAAGAGCGGTTTAGCGCTGAAAAATTGTTTTAGACTCTTATTGTTAGTATATATCAGGTCACTTACATAATTGAATCAGTGCTTGTGGGTCACCGATTCAGTGCAAACATTCTTTAAGTGGAAACACCAATGGTATTGGCTAATGTATTTATTTATTTCAAATGGCAGGCGTTTTGATAGTTATCATTAGCCCTTTAGCTGACTTCAGGCTTCATAGGGGGGAGGAACATGAAAGTAACAGAAATTCGAGGGGTGGGGAACAGAAGAGTGATTTGCAGATGTAAAAGAGACAGACACAAAGGCAGAGAAAAGGTAGGATGAGTACTGTGAAAGTGGTAGAATATGGCAGGCAGTTGGGCCATTGTAGTTTGAAGCCAGAAGTCAACTGTCGGTTAATAGACTTTTTTGCCGTATGAGTATACGTTGCCCAGAGTGCACCACGTGGAGGTAAGTCTATTGCACACCCCATATTGGCTAATGTTGAACTGACTGA